CTTTGGGGTTGCGTGGAAGGGTTCATTCCTTAGGCTTCCTGAATGGTTTCTTTGGTTCTCAGCAGCTCTCGCACCAGTTCACAAAGTTATTTGTGTTGACATTGACTTGGGCACCAGTGGTGCCAGGTGCTCTACAAACACAGAGCAATAGGGTGGTCCTTGTCCTAAGGAACTTAGGAGATCAAGGTTTGCAATGTGCTGCAGATCAGGTCTGTCATCATCCTGCCAGCTGTAGTTGTGAGAGGTAAATAATGGAAAGGAAAAAGTGGGAAGGTCTTCTGCTTGAGATGTGTGCCTGAGGTAATTCCAGGATAGCAGGGAATAGAGAAATTCATATATATACCCTGGTAAATATGTGTAAATGAAGGACTTTAAGAGACCTTTTGTCTATTTGGAAACAACTAGAATTCCTGCTAAATAAGACTCAGCAATTCATGTGGCAACTAGGGTGGTCTTGATTTTTAACCAGTAACAGAACCAGCCTCTTGATCTCTGGCTTTTTTTTGCAGTATCTGCTTCTTTCTCTCTTTTTCTTTCTCCTTTTCCCAGCCAAATGCTCAAACATACCCAGAAAAGCCTGCTCTTTTCCCAGCTGGCTGCATCTCTGTGGAGAGAGTCTGTGGCCCTCTCCCATTTCAGGCCCGTTTGACCTTGCCTTGTAACCAGATGTTTCACTGGAGAACTTACACTTGGGAGAGCCTGGGTTGCATTCAGCTGCTGGTGAACTCTCTGCCTCGGTCAAGCGGCTGTAAACAAAACCAGCCCAAGAAAAACAAAACCTTTTCTAAACTGAGTTGTCCAAGGACAGAACTGAGTCCAGAGATGCAGATGTCTGTTAGCATGTTGGTGAGGCTGCAGAGAGAAGCTCATCTGCCATCCCTGATCTTCAAAGATGGCTTTCACTTCACTGAGGGATTAGTTTCTTGGGATAACAGCTATTGTTCCCCTGGTTTCCAGGGGTTTGGAGATACATGACACACAGACCCCTTCCAATGGTGCCCATGGTGCATCATACTGTTTGCAGCTGTCCCTGCATTTGAGTGAGCTTCTGGCCAAGAGTATTTAGAAAGTGGTGGCTTGCTGGCCTGAAAGTCTCAGAAGAAGAAATCGCAAGAACACCATAGCAAAATGATTAGTTGGAGACATCCTTTCTTCCAAGAGGCACGTCACATGTCTGTTAAGCTTATTCCCCTGGTACTTGTAGACAGGCTTTCTGCAGAAATGGTCCTGTCTTCCACATTTGATCAGGAGAAGATGTGAGTAATGTCTTCTGGCGTTAAAACTGCAGCGGGAGTTTAGATTGTCAGAACGTTGTGCTTTGGTTTGGGAAGTGGCCAACTCTCAGAGTTCCTGTTTTGCACAAGATACATTGGGGCTGATCTTTAGCTTAGATGCCCTGAGAGCCTCACTTGCAAGATGGTATGTACAACAGTGTAGGGTCCTCTCATCCTGTAGTGACGAGTTACAGGAGTTGGAGGCTGCTGCCCCAGGCTCTTCCAGCTTGGTTTGAACCTGGGAATCAGCTCTGAGAAAGCCTTCTCCATCTGACCCATGCTTGGCCAGGTTAGAGGACAAAGGAGCTGTGCAAACAGCAAGATTTGCCCCATCATCTCTGAACAGAACCAGTTCTTGAGCCAGAGCCATCCTCTGGTGAAAGGGTGTATTATGCTGAGTGGAGATGGCTGGGAGAGGGATTGCTTGGCACACTGATTGCTGCTGGATGAGGGAAGATGGAGGCCTGTGACTGAGCAGCGTACACACAGAATCGTGTTGATACCCACATCAGCGATTTCTCCTCCACAAGGGTCAGGCTTGCCTGTCCCCGAACATCTGCTACCACTCAGCAGACATCTACCACTGTGTTGAGATATTTATCCAATATTCAGTATTCCCTCAGAGGGAAATGTGCCATCTCCTGCTCCCACGTGTAGACCAGCTCCACTTTCTACAGCCAAGTACCAGCTTGCACTAGGAAATGTCGAGGTGACCTGGCTACAGCCCATGGCCACTTTCTCCACTGATCCATCTCTGGCCCCATAAATCATTTTTAATAACCAGAGTGCTCTTAATGCAGCAGTTATAATGTGGGCTAGATCTGTTTAACCTAATCTGAGTATTAAAGCTGGTCACAGTGATATCTGAGCACCTGTGACTTCCTCAGACCAGCTAGAATTCAGGACTGTGAAGCCAATGGCTTTTCCTGTTCATGCTGTACTGGCACATCCCTCTTGGGGTGATTAATGCCTTCCTGAGATGGCATTAAGGTCAGTTACACCAAGGTGAGGAAGAGATGAATAGGTCCACAAGGCAAATATTCCTTTCAGATTCCCAAATGAAAATGTTTTCAGGCTTTCCAGACCTTGGCTTCAGCATCTCAGGAAAACATTCTTCTTTTGTAAGAAGCCCGGGCTGGCGTTGCTCAGCCAGCTGGGCACAAGGAGAGAGCTGGAAAGAGGAAGGGATCTGATAACACTGTTTTGCCCTCTGTGCTTAGCTCAACACTTCACTGTTTTAAACATCCGCTTCATCATTCCTGCTGCCCAATATCTCACTATGGCCCCAGCGAGAGCTATTTTAATCCCTCATCATTCATCGGGAGGCCCCTTCCTGTTCCCTTTCTATCTGCTCCCCCCGTGCATGTAAGTGCATCTCTCCATCGAGAAATCCCCTCTGCTCGCTGTTGTCGGAAAGGTCACCCAGGGATATTCACAAACAGCAGGTGTAAAATTAACAACTGGTTTGATTCCAATCATCTGGCAGGAAGGAAAACATTGGACAATAGGTAGAGCCAGGGTAAAGTTTCCAGCTGAAGGCTCATTGCCCGATATAGGACGGCAGATTGGTGGGCTGGGAACTCTCCTAAGAATGTGAAACCGATAGGGTATTAGCAGGCTCTCTCTGCCCCTCCAACACAATTGTTTTCAGCTTGCTCAAAAATATTTGGAAATGTTACTGAGTGGGACGTGTGGGCGAGAAGGCATCCTCCAGCCAATCAGCCGGGTAGATTTCAGCCCTCCCCTTGAATTTCAAGCTTTTGTTTTCCCTGATGGAATGGAAGGTGAATTGTCCATGATTAATTTAGGGATCTTAAAGCACTTTGGATGAGTTCCTGCAGCACACTAACAAGTGGTACTCTCAAGGATTACAGAAATTGTGGAGAGATGGCAAGATAGATGGGTGGATATATGATCAATACAGATCCTGACCCATTATAATTTTTGTTAGTGGAACTGATTTTAGCTGCATGAAACAATGTGAGTATGACTGGATAATGGCATCTTGAAGTTTTTTGGAGGCATGAATGAGTGGTAGATCTAAGAATCATAGAATTGTCTTAGTTGAAAAAGACATTTAAGGTCATTGAGTCCAACCATCAACCTATATCATAGAATTGTCTTAGTTGAAAAAGACCTTTAAGGTCATTGAGTCCAACCATCAACCTAAACCTTGTCCCTCAGCACCACATCTGCCCGGCTTTTAAATACCTCCAGGGATGGCAACTCCACCACTATCCTGGGCAGCCTGTTCCAATTCTTGATAACCCTTTTGGTGAAGAAATTTTTCCTAATATCCAGTCTAAACCTTCCCTGGTGCAAGTTGAGGCCATTTCTTCTTGTCCTATTGCTTGTTACTCAGGAGAAGATATTGACCCCACCTCACTACACCCTCCTTTGAGGCAGTTGTAGAGAGTGAGAAGGTCTCCCCTCAACCTCCTCTTATCTGGGCTGAACAACCCCAGCTCCCTCAGCTGGGCTGAACAACCCTAGTTCCCTCAGCTGCTTCTCATAAGACTTGTTCTCCAGACCCCTCACCATCTCTGTTGCCCTTCTCTGGAGTTGCTCCAGAATCTCAATGTCTTTCCTATAGTGGGGGGGTCCAAAACTGCATGTGATATTCAAGGTGGGGCCTCACCAGTCCCAAGTACAGGGGGACAATCAGATCTTTTGGGATCTTGACTAATGTCAACAACCAGAATGGTGGCTTGAGTCCCAGAGCACAGGAGTAAGATTTACTGTATAATTCAGGCTGTGGATGTACCCAAGGAAAGTTGGCAACACTGAAAACAGTGAAGACGACGGAGCATGGAACAAACTGTTGAAAAGTTTGGTTTAAACCATGGTGAGCTGAGTTGTTCTGTAAGTGTAAAGTGCTGTAGCTGTTCCCAGCATGGAGAAAGAGTTTGGCCAGAGGTTTTAATTAACATACAGCCTTTCTTCTGCTGGTGTTCAAACACAGAAATCTTGCCTCTATGAAGTAAGAATAAACGTATGGGGATCACTGCTCCTCAGGAGCAGCACATCAGTGCCTACAGCCATCTGGCTTCTTTAGTCTTCTCTGCCTTTCTCCTTCCCCACCCTCAAAGCTGTCAGTGTGATGTGACACCAGGTTTCTTTTGGCAAAATGCTACTACATCACAACCAGAATTTGTAGGCTTCTTGTCTGCCTTACAGGTGTCAATGATGTCCATCCTCTTCTTAAACAGGTTTGGTACAAGCTCCATCCACCACAATTAGTGCTGAAAAACTTCTGTTGAGGGTCCCTGAGTCCGTGTAGGGATCCCATTGCTCTCGCTTAGCAGGGATCTCACAGATGGACTGTGCTGACAAAGGATGCCTGGGCTGAGAGGAGGTCTGATACCGTGGTGTAACCCTGACATACGTTGTCAGCAGCACTGCCATCGCCAGCGAGAGCAAGGGGGAGGACTGAAATTCTCCCGTTCAATTGGGCGAATTTGACACCTTCTCGTTCTTGTGTCCTCGTGGCTCGGCCACTTGACATTTCTAAACATTCTCAAGCAAGTTCACTGCAAAACTATCCCATGTCAGGAGCTGGTGATGTCAAGGCTAATAACAGTCCTGAGGTCAAACCCTTCTGATCCTTCAGGCAAGGACCTCAAGATTTGGCTTCAAGTCAATAACAAGGTCTGTCACGTTGACGATGACTTATTATGAATCCCAGCGCAAGCCTTTCCCAAAGAAAGTGTGTTCGTTTGGTTTTCCATGCTGGAAAAGGTTAGCAGTTTCCAAAGGCAGGTTCTCTCTTCCTTGCGTGGAGCAGCAAGCAAAACCTGTGAGCCTGGAATGGGCAACAGCATTTCACCTTAGAGCAGGAGATGGGGACAGTGGTAAGTCTTTATCTGGGAAATTTTTCTCTTCCCCTCTGGAATGGTGCAAGATGATTGTTTTCATCTCTAGAGGTGCTGATTTTTTTTCTGTGTCCCCTTCCATCATTTGGATGTTAACAATACCACTCGCCTGCCTTTGTTAGAGTCACAATGGACCTCAGAAAGAGGGATCAAGCCATATTGGGAAATGCAGGGCTGGATGTCGGGGAAGGAGATAGCAGGGATCTTATTGGCTCACACTTGTGCTGCAGTGAACAAAGGAATTGTAGGTTGACATTCACTTTGCTATTACATTATAATCCTGACAGCGTGTTGAGAATGATGCCACTGGAACGGTGTCCAAAATGATAATTATAACCACTTCCTATTTTTAATTTCCTCTTAATAAGGGAAACAGTGGTCATCGTCCTGACAATAATGATTCTGCTCTGCCCTTCCAGATGCCAGAACATCATAAAGCACGGGTTAACAAACACTGATGTCTCTCTACAGGCCTTTCTTCTGAACGGAAAACTCTGTGCAACCCATCCTACCAAGACACACACATCAGCAGGTACAAACCAGGGCACTACAGAAAATGCTGCACCTGCTTTTCTGTTGGCCTCATTTGAGTCATGGAGGAATAAGGTGGTTTGCTCAATGTCTCTTGATGAGTCAGTGGTAGAGAACAGATTCAGCTGTTCGTATCTCCCCATTTTTCTCTGTCAAATGACTTTTTGGCCATTTTTTAGAAGACATTTGACATGAGGTTCCTAAATATGTAAGCTGATGTTCAGAATTGCTGAGTCCTCACTAGTTCCCCTCCAGGCAGTACCTGAACGAGGTATCTGAGGAAAACTGTCTTGTCTTGAATATCAGCAGCCACTAATGGTTGTTTCTCTTTATGCACTTAGATGAGTTTTTGCAGGTGGACTCCAGCTCTGCACACCCATCCAGTCTGATGCACGCAGAACCAGCACAAGACAAGGAGGATCACAGCAGACAACCCCAGGTTCCTGAACTGCTATTAACAACAACATGACAATTTCACACATCCCTCCTAAAGGCCTGCCTGACGGTAAGGAGTCCTTTGTCTGGGAGAGTTTGAACTGTGGTTGTCAAAAGTCTTAGCTAAGGGAAAGATGGTCCACATGGCTTGGCTGAGTGGCACTTTGCTTCTGAACAGCTCTTGACTCCAAGGAGTGCAGAGCACGTATGTCCTGCTGGCTTATAGGAAGTTTCTGTAGGATCTCTCTTCGTTGAAGGTCAGATTTCATGTATCTTCTGAGATCCTAGAACCAGGGTTCTGCTGTGCTAGAAAAGCAGAAAGGAGAAGACCATTTGAGGTTAGCAGCATCTGAGCAAAACAACGTTTATGGCTCAGACAGCAATTCCAATTATCCAGCACTTAGGCATCGAGAAGATTCAGATAAGAGGTCTCAGATTTAGCTCCTCTCTTCTCTCTGCAAGTTGATGTGCCACTTTTTTTTTTTTTTTTTTTTAGCAGAAAATCAAACCCATGATAGCAAATTTCAAGTTAAAAGGAAAAGACTGTTTCTGCAGAGAATGGAAAGAACCATTTTGGCTCTGGGGTGAGTTTTGTGATCCACCTGAAGCATGGGTAGCTGTCATTACACACACTTTAAACAGAAGCTAGTGAGCTTGTTGCAAGAGTAGCTGGATACAATCCTAGGGCTTTTTAATTAAAATATTTGAGTCCATGATAGATCATTTGCTGTGCTGAGTAAAACCTAACTGAGCTCCTGTTATGCTTCCATCAGGGCTATTTATACACTGTGACAATGCAGGAACCTAGTTTCTGACTTCTGCCTTAAATCTGAGCAGAGTCAATTGAAAATCATATAGTTCCTCCAGTCAGGTCATATGAAAACCTTAACAAAAGCTCTGCTCTGTAGCCCCATCCATTTCTTCTCCATTGCAAGGGGCCAGATTACCAGAAGAAGAGATGTTATCACCAAGCTGATAGGAGCTGTCTCCCTCCCTTCCCTGAAGTATTTATACAGGTCAGTCCCTCTAATACGTAAGCTTTCATCTCCTGGCAGTTTCCTTATGGGAGACCTTCCCAGTTTTCTTTCTCTCCTCACTGCATAGCCACCCACAAACAGCTTTTCAGTCATCTGAATGCTTGTGGATTGCTAGCATATAGCAAAGCTTTGAGGAGCATGTGTAAACAACCTATATACTAATCCAATAGCACCATGTTGAGGCTTGTCTTTATTTTCTGAGATAGATAATCATCAGCTTTAGAAGAGCTTCTTCCTTATCACCTTCCTTCTAAAAGGTCATCAATCCAATCCAACTCTGTTTTCTACCAAGAGCTCTGAACCCTGTTACATTTCTGAGCGATGCCTGAGGCGCTCAACCATTCTAGCTACTTCTGGTGACCTGGGTATGTCAGCAAAAACTTCTGCAAGGTCCTGACACCTGGTGTGAGGGTGAGGCAGCAGAAAAGTTCTGCTTCTCTCAGCCTTTTCTATCTACCACAGAGTTGTTTGAATCTCTCCCCCCCCTGCTTGCCCTTTGCATTACGCTATGGGGCGGAGAGGAAGCAATCCTCTGAATCTAAAACTCTCCTACCCTTCTTTTCCCACACAAGTTAACTCCCAGCCCTTGCTTGCTTCTGCTCCAGCCCCCTTCTGAGCGTGCTCTCATTAAGACCCCAGAGGGAGGAGGTGATGCTCTGAAATTGTCTTAATTGCTCTTGTTTATGCTGGTTACGATGGCAATAAGTTGCCATGCAGAGGAGGCTTTCTTCAGATGTGCAGGTTCTCCATTGTTCCGTATTCTGAAGGATTGTCTGTAGGCAGCTCCAAGTCATTTACAACAATAGATTAATATGAAGATCAGTAATCCTGGGTGACTCACAGTCACACACATGTAAGACCCGCCAATCGCTGTGACCTGCCACCGGATTTGAGGGGAGGTTAAATGTTGCTGGTGTGCTTTTGCAGGATGCTGAAAAGATAATGCTTTGCACTTGCAGAGTTTCTGCTCTCCAGGAGCTCCTCAAACATGAATGGAGAACGCTGTTTTGCTGTTACATTCACTGGAAAGCAGGGAACTGGAACAGAGTCTGTCTTTTGTCCAATGTAAATTTTCAATTGCCAAAGTTTAAACAGGGATCAGGAATCCTGACTATTGTGATCTATTAGCCAGGAACTCTATCATCCAGATCCTGAAGAGGATCTTTTCTGTCTGTTGTGCGCTATTTGTACTGTATCCCATTTCTCACCCTTGAAAAACAACAGAGAAGAGCTCCGTCTCACAGGTTTTTCTCTAAACCTCTGCAGTACAGCATCTGGGTCTTTATTTGGCAGAGACCCATTGGAGATGATGTTGATATTCCCCAGCTGTGGGTTTGCCCCTTCTGTCCCACTATTCAGACTTAGTGCTTCATGCTGGGACTGACTGATTTGTACTAGGGGTACTTTGCTTTCCATTCTTACTTTTTTGGATAGTCCCAATCTGACAGATCAATATAAGAGACTCCCTACATCCCTCTGATCCATCCCTTGAACCAAGACGCCTGTGTGTCATCCTTTCCCCTATATCCTTGGATTAGGTATATGTGTGCCTTCCCCACTAGTCCTCATTCCTCTGGGATCCACCATTCTTTTTCCATGTGCCAGACACTCCATGTATCCCTTACCTCTCTCACCCATCTCTTTACTTTTCCCCTGCTGGCAGGGGCTCACCATTCCCCCCATCTTTCCTTTCCCCTATGCTGGGTGAAAGGGGAGATGCCCATTCCCATTTTTTCCTTGTCTGGGAGATACGTTATTCAAACAGTAGGGAATAGAGCTGAGAGGAAGGCTGGGTTGTGCTGGAAGGGATTAACAGCTGCTTTTGTCTCTAAAGTCCATAATGGAGCTGGGTCAAGCTGCTGAAACACCTCACCAATTTCCTATTTTCTGCCTATTTTCAGTCGTTGGATGCTGACAACAGCCCCATAATTTCCAGTGTCAGTTAGGTTTGGTGCTCTCCGTTACCATATTGCACGTACTCTAGCAAACAGACAAGTGGAGAAATACTTTCCAGCTGAGAGTGAAAAATTGCCTTGCTCAGTCCATAAGTAATGTGTGTCGTTGAGCCTAGCTAATTTTCTTCCCTGTATAAAACAGTGCAGTTTCTGCATAATTTTGTGCATTACAAAAACACCAGATCTCAAGAGCTTGATGGTGGCCAGGCCCCAAGTGTGTCGCTAAGCAATTACCGAGTCCCGGCCTGCCTCAAGCTGAATAAAACCTTGAGGCAGAAGCTGAGGACCTGACCCCTGATTAGATCTGTGTGCTTTTCCATATTCATAACAAGAGAAGTGTGCTTATACAGGGTCAGCAAAGGGCTGATTTGGTATCCTGTCTTATATATAGCCCCGAAGAGGGTGCCTAGGAAGGACTAAGGAAGACTTTTCTTCCATAAATATGTATTTCATTTGGAAATATAACTTATATAAATGGTTAGAAGTTTTATGTAATTAGGAACCCTCTGTGAATTTCTCTTCCACAAACTTTTCCAGACTCCTCTTCAGTTCATGCACATTTTTAACCTTTTTAAAATCCTGTGGCAAGGAGTTCCTCAGCTTAACCACGCATCTCCTTTCGTTTGAAGCTGAAATCCCCCTGTTCCCAGGAGGTTTTGAACCACCAATGTTTTAGCTGACAGCAGGGGTACGTGTTCACAAAGATCTTGAATGAGCCATATATTTAGCTGTAAAGTTTGTCTGCTGGCTCTGTCCATTTGAACCCACTGTCTGCTGTAAATCTACACTGCAGCGTAGTCACCGTGCTGGAGGGAGAAATGCAGAAGAACTTACAGGTCTTTGAATGAAATAGTGCTGAGCACCCACATGAGGTACCAGCAGTCCCCTACAAAACAGTCCCCTTGGAGTCACCACATGCTGCCATCACTAGACGGTGACATCTCCCAAGCTTTGGAGCAGACCTGGTTGACAATCCAGAAGAGGGCAATGGTGGCACATCCTCACTGATGCTCTGAGCACCACATCAGCTGAGGACAGCCACTGTAGGAACATAGCCAAATAGCCAAACCACCTTGGCTGGCAAATCTACATGTTCCTGGCTGGTTTGTGGCAAGCAGATTGAAGTGGGAGGCAGCTTTCAGCTACCGTCTCAGGTCAGATGGGACTGTCAGTCAATTGTTAATTATGACTCTTCTTCTTACTAATTTCTGTAACTTCTATCACCATGGCAGCTAACTGCCGTGGAAAGATTCAGCCAGAAAAAGGAGAAGACAACCAAACTTTTCACAGCAAGGGAAGAGGAACTAGCTACAGAGGAGGGGGGAGGGGGGAGGAAGAGATCTGTAAATTGTCTTCTAGCAGAGTCTGACGCCATATTTGAAAGCTTCTCAGGTTTGGCTTTGCCAAAAGGAGTCAAACCTGTATTCTGACTGGCCTGAGCTTGAGACCTTACGTCCAGCTAGCCTGGTCCCAGCAGAGCTCACGATGAGTATGTGGTACCAGGTCATTGCACAGGATGCTGGGCACAACGATTTTTCTCTACTCTGAGCTGATTAGTGGAAAACTGCATTATTGTCACATCTCTGCCCTGCCCCGGTCAGTCGATCAGTTCTAATCGTTGATGATGGCTGTGCGTCTGCATAGGGAGGGAGGAGGAGAAACTTGACAGCACTTTGAGCTCTGATTAATTTTTAAACTTCCTCTTTTTCTGCTTATTTGGTAGCTTTTGTCCTGATGCTGAATTTGTTGTTTCCCCCATGTGTCACTTCCAGAGGAATAGTGTGGAGATGAAATGCCACTCAGCCATCACAGGGCATTTCACCTGGGGAGCTGGATGGAAAGCAGTAGGCAGGGGCCATACAGGGTCCTAGGACAGTTGGCCACTTCTGTCCCTGCCAGCAGGCCACAGGAACACAGTGACATGGTGCCTCTCTACTTCTCTACATGGGCAGAAAAAGCTGCATGGGGTCATTAAAGCAACAGCCATTTTGTTGTTGCTTTGCAGCAACAGCACCCAATTCTTGCTAAAATGACTGTCTCTGGCCCATTCAGCAACTTTCATTTCTGATTAAGCTTTCCAGCCTGTAGGTATCTTCTCTCACACCTGTCTTACCATTTCCATTTAGAAGGATTTAATTTAGAAACCCATTGTACCTGGTCTTGCACAGACCAAGCCAATTTATTTTACATAATGCTTCAGCACTTTAGGGAAACAGACTTGTTCTAAGTCCCTTCTGAAGGGAAGGATGGACTCGTGCTTCAGGTATTGGTTTGAGATCCAGGAGAGACAGACACTGTTCTGACAGTGTTCACAGATTTCCTGAGACCTTTATCAAATCATTTACCCTGCCTTGAGCATAACTTCTGCATCTGGAAAATAATCACCACCACAACACTCTCCCTACCTCTGCTTTTAGGAGGATAAGTGTAGTATCTAGATGGCATCAAAGTCCTTGTGTTCTGTGCTTTACAAATAGAATAAAAAGCTGATTTCTGTGCTGGAAGGACTTCAGCGTGTAAGTGCACGATGGGGACAACAGGCAGGTGGAAATCTGCTGAGAAGCAGGGAAACAGGGCAGAGCTGACGGGCAAACAGACCCTGGGCATTGCCCACCAGCTGCTGTCAGACTTTCCATCGGCATCTCGTCAGGGACGTGCAGGGAGAGAACGAATCACTCCGTGGGCGTTGACAGGAAGCTACCCCCGAGCGCGAGGGAGAGGCACGGGACAACGCACACGAGGGGCGGTTTGAGAATCCACGTGGGTGAGATCTTCCCAGCAAGCCTGGGGGACGGGAGACTCCGTGATATGCCTGAAGGAGGCACAAACACTCCCCTCCTCGGCAGAGAACTCAGCTGGCAAGATTTTGATCTTTTCATTCACTTGAGGTTTTCTCTTTATTCACTAAATGCCCCTGGACCTTGCTTTTTCAAAGCCCTTTTCTTTCTCTTTTGTTTGCCATTGCCACAGCAACACGTGAGTTTGAGAAGTTACGTGCAGGGAAAGATGAGTTTGCACTGAGGAGGTGACTTGAATCCTTTGCAGACCCCGCTGGAGCCAGTAGATCTGAAGACAGATGCTCCCCATCCACGGGGCCACGAGCATAGGTGAGCCTTCCAGTGGCTATGTGCCCTCCAGAGCTCTTGTCACCGTCAGTCAAGCTCTTCCCTACAAAATGGTAGCGGAGGAAGCTCAAGAAGTATTGCTTTTTAATTTCAGTGCTGCCACAGTCACTGACGTCCTCGCTAATCCTCTTGCGGCAGCAGGCTGCTAATCAAAAAACTCTTTGCTCGCCACTTTGGCATCATTCTGGGAAGCCAACGGAGCGCAGAGATGCTCAATTCCTCCCCCTCCACACACCTTCCCATTGTCTTCAGGACTGACAGCTCTGATGTGGAGCGGTGATAAAAGCCAGCTGATGCTGTCAGGGCCTGGTACAATTGCACCGCAGGGAAAAAGGCGACTGGCTCTGACTCATCGTAGCCGCCTGGAGCTCAAGATGCCTCGCACGCGTGCTGTCTCATGGCACGGCTCAGCACAGAGCGATGCACCTTTGGTGGGTTCTGGATGCTGCCCTCTGAGGCAGGAGTTGACCGTAGGCCTTTGAAAGGGCTAGCAACTGGGTGGCCAGCCAGCCATTGAGATGAGAGAAAAACGCACAGGGCAAAAAAACCCACTCGTTTGCAGATCTCTGCTGAAGCCTTTGGTGTGTATGGAGGAATAAAGGTAGTTGGTTGGATGTTCCTCTGCCTGACCTGTGTTCAGGGGTGTTAAGCAAAGCATTTGTGCAGTGAGCAGTAATCTATGACAGTAGCACCTCTCCCTTAGCTCCTCACATGCCCATCCTTACTGACTGAGCTGAGCCAACGTTGAATTTTTAGGAGGTTCCAAAATGCAGGGGATCCAGACTTGAATTGCTTCAGGAGTGCAAAGCCAAGAAGGCAAGGATATTCAAAGAGGGGAGGCTGGACTGTGAACTTCTGGGTGACCTTGAGGAAACTCTCTCAACGCTACCCATCCTGGCCAGGTCAGCTGCTGAAATTTTCATTACTCAAGGTAGAAACTCAGGGGTCATTTCTGTTTCATTTTTTTATTTTTTCCCAAATATGACATTGAATGAGAGGCATTAGGAGTTCCTCCTATAAATAGGATCACCCCTGTCAAAGCTGGTTAAGTCAGTGTCAAGCCTGTAAACAAGGTGCCTCTCAGATGCTCTGCCTGGAAGGTGCAGAGGGGTGTACAGGGAAGTTTAGCAGCTCCCTCTTTCTCTTGTTGGCCCTGGGACACCAGCTATTTTCAAAGCACCAAACACAATCATCCCCAGCTCCCATCTGGAGGATTTGGGGAGTGGTGCAGGACAGAAGCAATGTAGTTGGGGTCCACTGCTGTATGTTGTAGCAGAAGTGAAGCCTCCCAGGTGTGTTGTGAGAGGAGGCAGCTAAGGTGTAAAGTATGTGGGTGTTGGGACCTCCATGGCTGCTCTCACCGCAGGGGTTAAATGCTCTGATTTCATCAATTCCTGCAAGATCTTTCCCAAGGTCTGCCCTAGGGGTCTGGGATGACCTGCAAATTCCTGCAAGGAATTCCTCCCCAGGTCTGCCCTAGGGGTCTGGGATGACCTGCAAACCCTGCACTTTCAGTTGACTCAGTTTCCCCTGGAGGGAGCTGCAGTTTCCCATTCCTTTAGCACTGACCAGTTCTTCTTCAGCTCCATGAGAAGCGGCGGTTTCAGTGGCATCTGTTACAAAGCAGCTTTGCCATGCTGGACGTCAGCTGGGGCATGGCAGTGAAGCCAGAGACACAAAGCAAAGCATCTTTGAAACAAGAGAATGTAAGCGTCCCCCCGTGCCAGCTGCAGGGACATCTGGATGGAGCTGGCCTGGCAGAGCTGCAAGGGTCACCGGGGTGATGCATCACGAGCACCTTGGAGTAGCGGGAGCTGAAGACCCTGAGGTCCCCTTCACTTTCCTTCTCACCCCTGGGAGCTTCTTCCCACCTCTTCACCAAACTTTGTGCTGCTCTGAGACTGGGGGCTGCAAGGAACCTGTTCTGCTGAAGTGATGCAAGTGAATGTCTTAAAAAAAAAACAAAGAAGGATTATTTTTTTTAAAAAAATAGATCATTTCTGTGGTCTGATTTCCCCACAGATCCACAAGCGGTTGCATCAGTACAGCTGAGGGGGTGGAAAACTGAAGTGGGGGAAGAAAGGAACAAAAACTTTCTAAGTCAGCTTTACCACTGATTTTTTTTTTTTCCTGTAACTATATGGAGACCTATAGCTGCTTGTCCCTTCCAGACTTTAAGAGCTGTCTGGTTCTTGTGTGTGGAGACAGAGGCAGCAGAGCAGAGAGGAGAGATGATTTGTTTGGAGCTGAACTGGGAGAAGCTTAGCAGGGGAGGAATTGCTACTTGTTCTGAGATAGGCTAATTATATTTCGTGTCCTTGGAAGCCAACCCTTTTCTACTCTGCTTAATAGAGATCCTATAGCTTTTCACAGAAGCACAAGGGTTTCCCTCCCACCACCGCTGTACACAGCAGCCTGTCCCGCTGCCAACCTCCACCCCAGGAGCGTCTGGATGTCAGTCCTGCATTCCCCGGAGGGCTGCTGAAGCACTTTGGATTCCTCAGAGATGGAAACCTTTCTAGAAACGCAGGGTAGAGTTACTCTAATTCCTTGCTGTTTGGGATCAGACTGAAGCCTGCTGCTTAATGGGGGATAAGTGGATGTAATGCAGTCAGTCAATAACTTTACGCACACACGCAGAGCCCTTTGGATTACTGATTTCCAAAGGAGAGACTTTCCCTCACGAGGCCTGCAACGCACTGACTCAGCCCTGAGCCTTTTGGCTTTGTTTTTCCTTCTTTACAAAGTGACTTGTACTTTTAATTCTTCCCCCCCCTTCCCCACTTATTCATTTTTTTTTCCCACTTCTTCATTTTTTTTCCCCCAGAAAAGTTTTCAGCTTGTCAAACGACTCTTCCCTCTCCCTGTCTTTGCCTTTTGCAGTGGGAGGAAAGATAATAATAAAAGGAGCAGTTTTCAAATAAAAAGCCCCACGTGTTACCTGGGAACTGTCTCTCAGCATCCAAATACCCGCTGGGGCAGAGATCGCCGAGTCCCGGCTGTTGTTTTGTACCCGCCAGACACTGTTTGTGTTTTGTCACTAAATGCTGCTGTCAGGTCTGTCACTTGGTACAAGCAGGACTGGCTGGGGCCTCGTAAAATAGGATTTCCCTTTCCACCTCCCTGCCAAGCGCTCCTCACTCCTTCCTTTCCTCCTGACAGGAGAAATTGCTGCTGCGGCTGCTGCCATGGTGGTTTCCAGGCTGGAGGAAGGGCTTTGGGAACGTTTTGTACTCTGCCTCATCGCTCTGAAACGCTCCTCGGCTTGGGCATCCCTTTGGTCCTGCCTTACGTCTCAGCAGGGAGGGATGGAGTGAGACAAAGGAGTCGGTGAGCCTGCCTTCCTCTCCCTGTCAGTCCCCAGTCCCTGCTCAGCTTTGAGCTGAGCCCTTCAGAAGCTCAGCACTATCCCCATCCTCTTGGGACATCTAAGTTTTGGCCACTTTTTTTATGGCCTTACCGAATTGCTCCTAGAGGGAGAAACTTGCAGGAGAAGGAGCTCCAGAATATTCCTGTAAGATCCAAAGACTTGAAATGGCTCCCTTGGGCCCCCCAAGATGGGGAGATGCAGGAGGTGATGACCCACACTGCCACTTATCCCAGCCCTTTCCATTCCCCAACAGGCCCTGAGCTAAAAAGCTCATTTGACTTTTATGAGGGCTGGAGAGACCAAGCAAACAAAGCCTCAGGGTTTAGTCAGCGCCGGTGGGTACAACACGTGCCTCTTCCTTCTCTCCCCTCCTTTCATTCCTGCTGACAGCTCTCCCAAACACGTGCTGTCTGCTCAGCTCGGGAGCCTCTCCTCAGGAATGAGCCTATTGATTGGGATCGGAGAGCATTTCTTCCCATCATAAGTGGGGGGCCACCTCTTTCACTTCCACAACACCTCAAATACCCTCTGAGCTCCAAGGAAGTGAAGAAAGGCAAGGAAGGAAGGGGAAAGGTTCTGGAAGTGTCTTGAATCCTGGAGATGTTTTGTTGGATGGAGAAATGAGGCAGGCATGAGCCCAAAGTCTTCCAGGTAGAAGGAGCATGGTATTTTCCCTCCCTGCTCTTTCCTGGAATTCTGACTTATAACCACAGCCTGTCCTTTCCCCTTCAACAGTGTGTGGGGGTGTGTGTCAGAGGAATTCACAGACCTCGAGCCGTGGTCCCACAACACCAGGCTCCCCCGAGCTGAAGCAATATCTGGAGCTGCAGCAGAAAAGCTCCTTTCCCCCCACACCTCTGGGTTCTGTTGACTGTAACAAACCTCTGCCCTGGCTGCTGGGCCTGTGCTCTGGGGCTGGGAATGAAGCATTGCTCATCCTGCTCATCCGTTCACTACAGGAGTTTGGGGAATCTTTGTAAATAAGCCAAGAACATGAGAAATAGAAATTCCTCCCGTCCCAGGCCCTGCCTGACACTGCACAGATCCTTTGTTCTTGGCGTCTTCCTCCCTCCCAAGGCTTCAGAGAAGTTCTTCCAACAACACACCACCCTGCTCAGCCTCTTCCACCAATTTGGAGTTAGCCATTTAGTAGCCACCAATAATTCCATCAATTAGCCCATCTCTTGAGGCTCTCCTTCCCCAGGTGTTAACAATGCCACTTTAACACCAACAAGAAAGGAGCTCTCAAGATAGATACACATATATATATGTGCTTGTATAGGACCTCTTTATTCTTGCTAACTTTAACTGTATGGTGCTTCTGGTTTCAGCTCATCCATGGAGAGCTCAGGATCAGCCCATATCCTTCTTATTGCTAGGAGTTTTACACTCTGGGCTGTGCTGGCAGAGAGGAATTGGACCTTACTGGCATCAATTTTCTTGTTTTTTGTTGGAAGGAGTGTGTGAGGATGCCAGGAAGGCTTTGAAACAGCCCATAATATCCTGTCACCTAGTCAGGCGTGATGGATCTGGCATGGTAAGAAATAAGTGAAAGAAATATGTGTTGCAATGGAAGCTGTTCAGTAAAATAAATGTTTTCAAAGGAGGAGGAAAGTAGCAGGAGCCAGCAGTAGAAAGGATGTTTTCAGCTCTTGAAGGGGAACCTGGAGAAAGAGAAATCCTTTTTAAAGTGTAAAATGGTGTCAGTGGGAACATAATGTTGTTACTCCTTTGATGAGAGCAGTTAGCTGAAAATGGGAGGATTTGCAGGTTATCCCAGGTGGGAGGAGAAAGTGGTAACGGAGCAGGGGTTCCTCTGAAGTGCTCTGGTCCTACAGAGAAAGGAGACTCCTGCTCGCCTGTACCCAGCAGGATCTGGGACCAGGGACATCCACTCTCACAGCTCTGCCCTGCTTTGTCAGTGCTCAGCACAGACATCTCTGCCCTGTACTCTCAGAGCCCTGCCTGGCTGAGCCTGGAATTTCCTTACTGCTTTTCTCCCTTTTCCATGGTTTGTCCTGCTTATTTCCCCCACCATATGTATGCCACTTGCCATTTAAGACATTGCCTAGCAAATTCTTTTAGCCCCTTCCAGGGCACAGCTGTGTGCTTTTGTTTGAGGTATTTTTGTTTGTTTGTTTGTTTGTTTGTTTGAGGTATGGGTCACTGCTGGTTTCTTACCTTCTGTCAATGCCTGTTCTAAGGCTACAGGTGAGCCAGAGGGACAAGATCAAGGCACAGGAGGAAGAAAGAAGGTAAGTGGATTAACCAGGACATCTCTGCATGTCTAGAAGCTCTTAAACTGTGTGATGTAAGGGAAGTGATGGAAGACTGAAAATTGGGGATAGTCAAACCTAGCCTAAGGTGGAGAGCAGAGAAGGGGAAAGGATGTGATACTCTTGGCATCTGCTTTTTGCTCTTGCACCCTATAGCTTTCAGTTCCTGATAGAAGCAGGGCAGCACCCAGCTGGTGTGAGCAGAGCTGTACCTGCTTCCATCAGCCAGGAAGGGGTGTGTGTGTGTGATTTGATGCTATGCTTTTAGTGCCCGGATACCTTCTGAAAGCTTCTCCACCTTGTCTCTTTTCACAGAGCCATAGGGGAGCATGGCCAGCTATTTCCTGGTTCCTGAAGGGAAATGCCAAGCAGGGACCCAAGAAATTACGTACCCAAATCCCATAAGTAAACTGTGGGTGCTCTGCTGCACTGAGCTCAGTAACGCAGCCCGGCGGTGCACTGGGTTCTGCTCAGGTAACACAAAGGAAAAGGCCAGCGGCTGCAAATTAATTACTGTTAACGATGCCACCTTCCTGCAGAGCACAGCAATTTCTGCAGAGGGCACAAAGCTTGGTTTTGTCGGATGCCCAAGCCTGTAAAGATGCCTTCTGGCATCCCTGCGCTGCCCGTGAGCCCATCTGTTCCCAGTGGGAGCCAGGGAGCCATCAGGCAGTGCCGGATGGAAGCACGTTTTGACTCACGGGTCAGAGGCTGGGCAGAGAAGTCCATCCTTCCCAGTCACTTCTTTAATTGACACAGTGAAAGAAGCCACATCTTCCTGCCCGATTCTGACCGGGTCTGTAATTGAATTCTGCTCAACATCTCCGCTCCAGCCCCCCAGGGGCCCCTCTATTAATGATGGATTTTTTCTCGCCTTGGGAATTTCTCCTTGCTCCCATTCTTTTTATTTAATAGGATCTAGTGAGAAAACCGGCAGTAGTACATCTCCCACCCTGTGTTTCCTACCTTTCCCAAAGGTGCTTCATGAAGAAAGGTGCTTGGGCATTAAAAGAGAGACAAGTGAACTTCGGGGACTGGAAACGTGTGCAGTTTTCCTGGCTTTTGTTCATTCATCCTTTCTCTCACTCCTCTCAGGTCTTTTGTTTCTCCTTGCCAAAACTGCTTGCGCACACTTCACTCAGGATCTAATGAGACTGTTTTAGAAACTGCAGCGCTGAATTCTCTTTTTTTCCCCCTCAGAGTGCAGGGTCTGTTTAACCTTTCTCCCTTGGCATCTGTCTCTCCCAGCAACCTTTTTGCAACGCCTATGGTTGCAAAGAAATCCCAGTGCTGACTGGGTTTCAAACGGGGGTTGCTGGGGATGTAGGCAGGAGTGTGTGATACGCTGTAGGGTACAGTTCTGGCTGGCTGCAGGGGGTGGTTATTCCATGGATCTGACTTAGCTTGGTCTTCCCAAACCCTGCCAAGATGTAGAGGTTTTTCATTGCTCCTTGAAAAGGAAATGTGATTTGCATGTCAAAGGGTGAGAAAGGACAGGGGTCGGCAGTTCTCCAGCCTCTTTATTCTCTTTTAATCTCTCTCCCCCTCCCCACATCCCCCCCCACAGCTTTCCTTTTGGCATTCCTTTGGCATTAAAGCGTCCAATCATCACGGGGAGGAATCTTGGGGTTTCTTAAACTGTTGGATCCTGTTGAACATCCTTGTTAAACTTCACCCTTGCTGCTGCTGCGTGCGGGGAGCTTCCCACGCAGAGCAAAGTTGGGTCCCCAGCCCACCGGTTCTCCTCCACAGGCGGTGACGCGCGAGTCTCTGCACGCAGGAGGCGGTGAGGGGAGGCTGTTTGGGAGAACGTGGCTCTGAAGCAGTGACTCTTTGGTGAATCTGCAGAGACAAGTGCATTGGGTTTGGTGGTTAACCAGGAGAGAGCATGGTGTCTCCAGTCCCTGCTTTTAGAGAAAGCCCCCTAACCCTGCTCCTTGTCCTTGCTAGCCCTGGCTGGTGATGGGTGGGAGGAAAGAGTGGAGGAGGCGATCCTTCCCTGACCCTCTCCTTGGTGGTCCACTCTTCCTGCATGCACGTGTGAGAAGGGATGAAGTTGCCCAGGTTTTGTAGGAGATCTGTGTCCGTTATAGATGATACCTGCCTGAAGGACTAGAAGGCAGAGACTTTTTTGCTTCTTCCCTTCGCTTGGTGATTTTTTCCCAGTTTCTGGGAGTTTTTCTGGTTTGTTGTTGCAGATTTTTGGTTTGGGTTGGGTTTGGTTTTTTTCACATGTGGCTTCCAGGTCTATGCTACCCTTCTCCTTGGGGATCCATGTTCACTGCCCGGATGTCCTGGAGCAGGAGAGCCAGGATGATGCTGATACACAGCTGGGAAGAGCATTTGAACCTCAGGGTGTTGCATCCACCCACCTGCTCTGAGACCATTAAGACGGTATCTTCACAAGCTTCTGAGATGGGTTATATTGTCATAGGACAATATAGCTCTGTAATGTCCCAAGTATCTTCACAAGCTTCTGAGGTGGGTTACGCCAAGAACTCATAGGACAATATAGCTCTGTAATGTCCCAGAGATACCAGCACCTGTCGTGACTGGTGAGAGCAATAACTTTGCTCTCCATGTGCTGAGACCTCTTGTAGCTGGCAGGGACAGTTGTACCAACATGTGCTTGTGTCCTGCCTCCACCAGCTGTGAGGAGGAGGAGATCCTTGTTGTTAGGTTGTGCTGAGACATCAACGGGATCATTGGCTTAGGGAGGTTTAAGTGTTTGTTTTCTACTCCCAGTATCTGACTTTCCCAGGCCTGGCAGAGAGCAGGGAAGAGTCATCTGCAGGTCTGAGTTCAGATGGGTGGGAGCAGGGCTGTCACCCTGCGCCTCTACAGGATTGTTCTCACGCCCCATTTCCTTTGTGGACAGAAAGAAGAGTTATCAGGAGCCTGCACCTGCTTCCAGCTGAGGAGAGGAAATGCTTCTGGAGGTGACAGAGGATGGTTGGTCGTGTCTCAGGAGTCCAGGAAAGATCAGGCTCTGTTGGACTCCGCATGGTAGAGGCTGATACTGCGAGCTTGTGGTCAGGGTGGTTGGAAAAATCATTGCCATCAGCTGGAGAGGACTCAGAATTAAAGTCATCACCCTGATGATTTGTAGAACTGAGCTGCTGGTGTAACTGTGAGCTGCCCCAGGCCACAGAGGACATGTTCCCCAGCCCATAGGTAAGTAAAGGCTGTAGCTCCTCTCCTTGCACTGCCTGCTGCCTTGCTGCTCACAAGTGAGGAGCACCCCAGCTGCCCCCACTGCCCTTCTGGCTGCTTTTGGGCACAGCTGGGGCTCTTGGTTCCATCCCACAGCAGTGCTTTAGTCTTAGGAACCCCCAGGTCTGTCCTGGTTGTGTCCCAAAAGCCCAGCAGACCCAAAGGAGATACCCAGACAGCTAAGCTGCACAGCCTGAGAGAAGGGAGGGCAAATACATTTGAGTTAAGGGATGTTCATGTCAGCATGATGCATTAATAGGGAAATCGAGTTAAAGAACTTCATCAGGGATGTAAAGTGAGTTGGTGGAAGGCTGAAATTCTCCTAATGGGTACTCTCTCCTGTGTTTTCTACCCTCTTGTGAAGACAGGACATTCTGTTTTCAGACAGTACATTAACTTGGCACTAAGAGGCTTCCTAGAGGTGGGTGGGGAGGAAGAAGCCAGGAGATAGAGGGAAGCACTAGAGAGAGCAATGCTGAGAGATGCATCTCAGAGGGTTGTGCTGGATCTGAACTCCCCTGTGACTTTGGGCACATCAAGAGCCTGGACACTCCATTATGAGGTGGTGACTCAGCTCCGGACACCACAACCCCAGCCCTTCCCTAACACCAACATGTCCTTGGAGGCACCTTCCCACATGAGGTGCCAGGCAACAGCAGAACCAAGTGCCCCCCCTGGCACAGGGCACCCAGCAGCTCTACTTACCTTTGTGTAATAAGGTTAAATCACTGCCTCATTAGAGCCCTCAAATTAAGTCACCACCTTGCTGGATCAATACTATTTTCCATGATGCACTCGTGACACTAAGTCTGGGAGATGGATTGATGCTGGGAGGCTGAAGCGCTCCAGGGCAGCTGCAGTTACACCCAGTGCTGGGAAGAGTTTGTTATCAGGGGAAAAATAGCAAATTTCCATGGAGGGCAGAAGCTGACAGCAGAGGCAGGAGGTGTGATGGAATGGGGACATGAGGAGAGTGCCCATGTCTCTTGGCATCTCGTGGGGCTTGGTGTTGGACCCCATTTTAGACTATTACAGGGAGAGGGTCCTTGTCTGTGGGAAGCCTGTGGCGGTAATGGTCTCCTCCAGGGGTCTGCACTGGGAGCTTTGGCTAAAACGGGCTGTTGTCTCCTCTTCCCCAACTCCCCTTCCCTTTGAGCAAGGTCTGGGAGAGGAAGGGTTAAAGGAGCAGCTCTCATGGGGTTATCACAACGGCACACAGATGCCCAGGACTACCTGATGCTGTACTGACTCTTCTACCCAGGAGACACAGCCTTCCCACCCCAGCAGCCACCATCAGAGGCTCCCACTGTCCACGGGAGCTGCCACCACACACTGGCTGGTGCTTGACCAAAGGGCCCTCCAGCTGCCTTGAGCCCTCTGGAAAGATGTGAACTGGTGTCTACCAGGTTACTGTGGCTCAGCTGGGGACTTGGCCCAAATGAGGAATTCCTGGGGCTGAGTTTGAGGTGAATTGTGGGGCAGTTTGGGATCCTGGGTGCCAGATCAATGCGCTCTGAGCTGCAGCAAAGCCAGAAAAAGTTAGTGACCAGAGTGAATCTTGGTAGCCCCAGATCCCAAACCTGGGATGTTTGCACTTTGGCCAGCACAGGGAGGTTTGGAGTGGACATCTCTGCCCTTTCCAGGGATGTGGTGTGGATCAGAGACCACCCACCTCATTCCAGCCACCCACCCTGCTCCAGATGCCAGGGCTAAGGTCACTACTGCATCTCTCCCCCCCACCTCCCTCACCCAATGCCTTTCCCCCCTCCCTCACAGCTCTGCCCCCGGGACCACTAAGCACAGGATCCCCCAGCACTGGGTGCTTGTTCAGCTGGCTGGGAGGAGCAGGCAGGACAGCTGGGTGGGCGGTGAAGAGCAGGGGCTACAACCCCCTTCCTGCTGCTGCAGCTGAACACCATACCAAGACCAGTTGGGTGGCTGGACTGGGTGGGTTTAACCCTTCCAGGACAAGCCTAGCTCTGTTGAACTTCTCTGTGCAAAATCAGAGCTTTCTGCAGAGCCAGCACTTCGCAGCCCCCTTACTGGGAGCATTGGGGTGGGATTCAAAGGAACAATTGGAGCCCTAAAAGCATTCCTCACCCCACAGACCCAAACACCTTGTGTGCCCCCGTGGGTGCCCACATTGCTGCCAAACCAGAGCTCCTGGGTGCTGGCTGTAGTTTCTTTCTAAACCTGTAACAGCACAATTTATTTGAGATACTTGGCATCAAAAATGGGATTAATCCCTCTCCAGGCATGCCCAGAGGTGACCTGGTGGCTGTCACAGCCTTGTCTTTGGGCAGAGGCGGAGGAGTGGGCACCGAGGCAGCAGGTTGCTGCCCACCCCAAGGCATGAGAGGGGGTGAGTGGGTGCATCTGAATAAAATACTAAGGCAACAGAAGGAGGGCAGAGCTGGTAAAAATGTCCAGAGCATCTGTGGCAATGTGGGCAATGAGGTGACGCCGCAAGTGGCTGTCACTTATTTTGAGGCTTATTGTCTCTAGTTTGCTTAAGAAACCTTGTTCTTTCTGTCCCAGGAGCCCTCTTAGGAGTTGAAGCATTTCTGCAACCCAAATGTCTCCTCTGATCTGGCTCCAGCAGGGACACAGAAGCGAGTGCAGGGAGCAGAATGGGACCCGGTGTGAGGAGGGGGAGCTGCTGGCCTCCGTGGGCTGAAAACATCTGATTTAAAGGTGAGAGGAAGGAAGAAACTTTCATGTTTTCTGGCTCATGCAGTGAGTGGTTCATGAACTGATCCTCGCCCTGGGGAGCTCATCCCTGGCCTGGAGAGTGGGGAGAGGGCACACAGCTCGTGTTGGTGCTGCCAGGGTGGCGGGTTTGTCCCCACGGAGGCAGAGCTGAGCTCTTTGTTCATCCCTGCCCTGCTACGAAGCAAGAGAAAAACGCTCCTGCCGAGCACAGCCAGAAATAACCCAGGCCTCCAGCAGCCAAAAAGCTTCCAAGGGGGAATTTTAAAGTGCTGGGAATTTGGCCTCTCAGCCTGTGCTTGGGGCTCCTCTGCCATCTCCTAATGTCCCAGGCAGGGAAAGGCAGATCCTGAACACAGCCCAGCTCCTGATGTCCTGGAACCAGCATCTCAACAGGGAGCAGTTCACTCCTGGCTCACCCTAAGACCTGCTCTGCTCCTGTTTCCACCCCACACTTTTGCAGCACCACTATCACCATCAGAGCTCCTGCCTTGAAAGGACACTGGTGATGAACAGCACTTCCCCAAGGGATGTTCTTCAGGGGTTGTGATGCCCCAACATCCCTCAAGAGCCCTTCACTTTGCTGCATCGCTGGCTCAGGACACTCCTGAGCTGAGGCCACCTTGCAGTGACAGCTCTGCTGCTGGTGAGGACAGAATTTGGGTATCTGTAAGGGGAATATAATAAGGACAAATAAGCTTGAGCAGTCCCATTGCCCACGGAAGAGAGGAGTTGGGGACAGTTAAAAACAGGCCTTCCCCTGTCTCTGAAAAGGACAGCAGATTCCAGATGGGATTTGAGTCACACCGTGACAAAAATGGTCTCTCTGTGGCACATGTCAGAGGCTGCAGGGAAGATCAATGTTGCTTCATTGCTCTGCCCCCCCGGTTTGTTCACCCACAGGGATCTCCTGTCCAGGTTTTCTATATGTCAGCATCTTCTCACCACCCCAGAGCAAGGGCATTGCATGGCAGATGCTCGGCGGAGGAGGTGACACCTCGTTATGCAGCAACAGCTCTGCTCCAGCTCCTGGGGCAGCTCCTTCCCTTTGCTCGGGGATGTAACCCAGTGCATTGCTTGGATCCCAGCATCCACAGGCTGCAACCCTTGGAAACCTCCCGCACCCCTGATCTGTCCCTCCACACCCCAAGCTGTCCCTCTGGTGCAGGACACCAAACCAGAAGGAACCAAGTGGTCTGAGCACATGCAGGAGGTCACTGAAGACATGCCGGCTTTGCAAAACAGATCCCATGATGGATATAGGATTGTTTGTTTATTTTAGGTTTTATAGGGGGCATTTTCCCTTGCCAGGAGCTGGAGAATAGAGGACCCGGGTACCATCTGCCCAGGGGACTGGTGAATCATCCTATTTTCCAGTTAACCGCACTTGTTTGCTTTGGGAGATCTCCAAGTTAAGGGGGAAGAAAAAGAAAACCCAACCCATGGATCTTTTCCCACACAATAAGAAAAATGCCTTTTTTTTCTTTTTTTTTCTTTTTTTTTTTTACAAAAGCCAGTGTCAACTCTGCTTTTACTTAGCAGTGGGCTGGGTAAAAATAGACAGTGAAGTCATGACGCCTTCAGAAGAAGAACCAGGTATGGCCTGGGGGAGAGGGACATGAAGCCATCGTGATGGGGACAGGCAGGGGTTTTGTCCCAGGACCATGCTGGGACAAGGAGAGCTGCTCACCCCCCATGCCTTGTGATTTCCCCAGCACGTTGCTGGGAGAAGCAGGAGGCTCTTTGGTGGATGCACTGGAGTTCAAGCTGCCGTTCGCGTGATGCGAATGGGACTGTGGCCCAGCAAACACCAGGAGATCCGCTCTTCCCAAAGCCGAGACATTCGGAGCTTGAGGCACACTGGAAGGCAGGGTAGGGAAGGGAAACCAAGAGGTTGTGCTCTTGCTTTCTGCAGGACCATATTGCTGCAGCCTCTGCTCTTATGTTTCTGCTCAGATCTGGCTTTTTCTTCTGTTTTATTGCCGTGCCAGGCTGCGAGCACGCTGGGCTGCTTGGAAGGAGCGCGCATCTGTGGGACTTTGATGTCTTCTGCTCATGGCAGGGACCTTGGAAGCCACCTGGAGCACCAGGAGGTGCAGCTGATGCCCGTATCTCTCCATTCTGCTGATGGGAGGCTCCTGTGGCAGGGCCTTCATGAGGCTTTTTGTGCAGGGTCGGGACATGTCCTCAGCCAGATTCTGTGCTGGAGTGGCTGCAGGTGAAGATCCTGTGGACAGAGTCTCTGTAGCATTTCTGCATCACAGGAGAAATCAAGGATATGAGGGCAACTTTGCAGTCCCCCCCAAGGGAATGTGAAAGCCCAGGGAAATGGTGAATCCCTCCTGCAGGGCTGGCCATGTCAGGTGTGTCTTGGTTGAGTGCTGAAGAAGACCACAAATATCTGGTTGTCCTCAGCCCTTGTTGCAGTGGGACTCTGTGGTGTCCCCTTCATCCCACAGCTTTAGTTCTCCTGCCAAAGCCACAGCTACCACATTGGTTTTGTAGCCTTGCAACCAAGCACCAACTTAGGTCACAACTGAAACGAATTTGGCAGGGCTCAGCATGCTCTTCCATGGGTATTTCTTTACATGCTTGGAAACACCATGGTGGCTGCAAGGAGACGCCAATTTTACGTAGCACAAGGATGCTGCACAGCAGGGGCAATGTGCTCTGCCAGAACTGGGGGAGCCAGAACTTCAGATTTTTAATTTTCAGGATACAAGGTGAGGGTTTTTTTGCTCTTCTACTTAAACAAATCAAAACTTCCAAGGGAAAAATAAGCCCTGTGGAAACTTCAGCCTCGCCCGCAAGGAAGGAACCTTCTATCAACAAGAAAATTCACATGGTGGGGAAAAAAAACCACGTCCTTTTCTGCTCAGCGGCGAATGCTGCCACCCGCTCCTGGCCGCTGAGCCGTGGTTTCTCTGCAGCAGGAGGCTGGAGAGGCGCGAGGGGAATATCTGCATTTCTCCCCGATCACTCACTGGAACTAGCATTATCGCCGGAACAATGGGCTCAGCCTGGGCCTGCTTTGCCAACGCGGTTTCGCTGCAGCGCTCGCTCCCGGATTTATTTTTGTCCGGGCTTGGAGCGGGGTGCGGAGATCAGGTGACGGTGCCCAAGGAGCTCTTGGCATCGCCTGTCCTGTTGCTGTGTGTGCACATGTCCACGGGAGTAATGAGCAGGCAGGGATGATGGAGGCACGTGGGGTGGCTGCGCTCTCGTTACTGGGTCCTTATCTCTTGGCTGAGCTCAGTCTGGTGACCAGCTCGTGGGAGAAGGGATGCTCTCTCACCAGGTGGGGACCCCTCATGCTCCCACTTGACCTGGCTTTTTGTAGCTTTGCAGTGCAGTCTGAGGAATCAAAACTAGTGCTTTGGCACTGGGATTAGGACCTGGAAACCAGTTTCTGATTTGGTAATGGCTTCACGTTGCGCCAGGGGAAGTTAAGGTTGGATATTAGGAAACATTTCTTTACTGAAAGGGTTATCCAGCATTGGAATGGGCTGCCCAGGGAGGTGGTGGAGTCACCATCCCTGGAGGTATTTAAGAAACGTGTAGACATGGTTCTTCAGGGCATGCTCTAGTGCCCAAGATTACTGGTTTGTGGTGGGGTGCTGTGTGGGTGGGTGATGGTTTTTGGTTTGGTGGTTGTTGTGTGTTTAGGTGGTGGTTTGTGTTTTTTGTGGGGTTTTTTTGTTTGTTTTTTTGGGTTTTTTGGTGTTTTTTTTTTTGTGGTTGGACTCGATGATCTCTGAGGTCCCTTCCAACCACTACGATTCTGTGAATTGGGTCATGGGTATTAAGGGATGTGACCAAGGTGACACACAAAAGACTGTGGCAGAGCCAGAGAAGCCCAGGCATTCCCGGATGCAATGTCTCCATCTCTGAGCTTGCCCCTCAGCAGTCATGGACGTGACGGTGAATACTGAGGGTCTCTGGGGCACATCAAGGAAACTTGGGCTTCTTGGTGAGTCCAGCAAGCACTGAGTCACAGGGGCTTGGGGCAGAAGCTGGTTTCGTGGTCCTGCCCAGTCTGAGGGATACTGGGATGGGGTATTTTCCCCCTGCTCCCTCCCGCTGCTGCGGGGATGTGGTGCGTTCCCAGTGCACGGTGGTTGGCTGTGCCACACAGACCAGCCTTCAGAGCTGAACCTTCCAGCCTTTGCTATATATCAACCTAAAATCTAGATCACACCATGTAACATGTTCAAGGCCTACCCCAGGGCCATCTACCTGGGGGATGAACCAATCCCAGACTTGACACAGTCCCGAGCAGGGATTTTTGGAGCCTTCTTCCTCCTGACCCCCCCAAAATATCTTCTTCCAAAAGGACCCCGTGAAGCTGCTACAGCGAAGAGCCAACCTCAGGCTGTGGCATCTGCGATGCTCTAAGTGAAAACATCCCCCAGCAGTATGGCTTGGGCTCGGCTCCCCACAAGTGACGTGGAGGCACCCACGGAGGTTCAGGGACACCCCACTGGCTGCCACCATCCTTGGCTGCACAGGAACACCTTGTGCACCAGAAAGCATCCCGGCTCCATCCCCGGCCTCAGCAGAGCCCCTTCTTGGAAGGTTCACCCCCTGCTTTCTCCATCAGCTGGAAACAATCTGCATCACTGGAGGTTTTTATTTCCCAGGAGGCTGTGAAGAGAGAGGAGCCTGGAGTTAATCAAAGTCCAGGGAGTGCACAGGAGTGGCCGTGGCTGGAGGAAGCTCACAGGCTTCTGCGCTGGAGAGGAGCAGAGCTGCTGGGATCTGGGAAGATGGGGTGTGGGGAGGGCTGGGGGTTTGTTCAGCACGTGGTACTGTAGGACCATGAAGAACAAGACCTTAATTATTCAGGTGTGGGATGAGGAGAGGGACCGGGGTGCTGTGCCGCAGCTGGTGGCCCAGACCATGCTAGAGATGTGTAGCATCACTTGATAGGCACGAGGGGCCCAGACCCCTGTCTTGTGACTCCACACACGGGTCCAGCCTGACTTCAAAGGGAGCCAAGTGCTCCGTGGTGGAGGCTGGGGCTCACCCTGACCCCTGGAGTATTCAAGCTGTGGTCTGCGAGCAGCGCATTGTGAACGTCACCCTCCCTGGGTCAGCCCATCCTGCGAAGAATCCCCTTTTATCTAAATCCCAGCACATGATGCCGGAGTGGAAGGAGCCTACCCTGCCCCAGCAGGTCACTTCAGGCTTGGCTGAGCTTCTTTCCTCTTGAGGGGATGCTTGCCAGCATCTCGGAAATGGCACCAGTGTGATCTGCAGCCCGGGCACAGCTGAGGACCTGCTCTCTGCAGCTCGGAGCAGCAAAATTCCCTCTTGCAGCGGGAGGATGAGGATGGACGGTGTGGAAGCAGCTCCCTCTGCCAGCCCAGTGCCATCCTGGTACCCGCTCCCACGTCAGGAACTCGTGACTGAGTTCTCCTGAGCAGCAGGGACATGGTGACAATCCCAGCCTCGCCTGCTGCTCCCTGTGGTTTCTGTGGCTCGTTGTCACGTGTACAACAGATGATTTTATGTTGATGCTGGGCCTCCGGGGATCGCGTTGTGGCTTGTGGCATATGGAAATGTATGGAGCCCTCTGGCAACAGTTGCGTTGAGTCTAACACACAGCCCTAAGGGACTGACCCTGCCGGTGCCTCCCAGCTGTGTTTTTCCCTGGATCACCGTGTTTGGATATCTCTGATGTTGAGATCAAAGAGCCTGTGTTCATCCACAGGGCTGGAAGCAGCCGGTGGAAGGGATGCAGGCACGAAGTACCGTCCTCTTCTGCGCTCTCAGCACAACCCTCACCTCGCTGGGTGGGGAACGGACACAAACCCACACAGGAAAGTAAAATTGTGGGTATCGCTCATCACTTTTCACTTGGGGAAGATTCCCCGACTGCTCTGCTGGATGAAATCCTGCAGATATTTAATGCTGAACCAACCATTCATCCACAGGGCTGGAAGGGATGCAGGCACGAAGTACCGTCCTCTTCTGCGCTCTCAGCACAACCCTCACCTCGCTGGGTGGGGAACGGACACAAACCCACACAGGAAAGTAAAATTGTGGGTATCGCTCATCACTTTTCACTTGGGGAAGATTCCCTAACTGTTCTGCTGGATGAAATCCTGCAGATATTTAATGCTGAACCAAGGGAGCTGGCTGTGTCACACGTGAGGTGTGTCCAGGTAGGATTTATACTGGGGGCCGAGGCACCCCCCAGTCACTGGACTGTCACAGTCAAGGCAACGTGTCTTTCTGGGTGTATTAGGGGAAGTGTCAGGGCCCTTGCAGCCTAACACTGTAAAGCAGCCAAGAACTGACAGGCCAGGGCTTCTCCTCTCACCCTGCTGGTGTTGCACTAATTGCAGCTCTTCCTAATTAAAAATCAGTGATGTGGCTTTGACAACTGCAAGCCAGGTCCCCCAGGTGAGCCCAGGGCAGAGGCTGGGTGGTGATGAAGGATGTGGTCGTCCCTGAAGCCCAGCACACTCCCTGCTGAGCCATGGTTGGATGCCACAGAGGAGCCAATCATCCAGGAGAGTCCTCAAAAAGAGGAATAAAATCAGAGACAACCTTGGGGCTGCCAGGGAGTGCCCTGGACCCCCGAGTTGTTGTCCTGAGCTGGACTGAAATGCTCCCTGCCAGCTACAAAGCCTCTTTCCAGGTGGCAATGGTGACTCCTCTACACCGACACACGGCTCTGGGAGCCGGGGCTCTGCACGGAGGTAGCAAATCCCACGACAGATTCATGTGAGCTGGCAAAGCTCTGCCTCTCCCGGGGGAAAAGAGGGGCCAGCTCGCTGCCAGGCACTTAAAATAAGGCAAAGTAAAAGCTGGATGATCTTTAGAAGCACAGTTTCCTGTTGGCTTGCTGATCTAACAGCTTTTCTCCTTCCTTATTTCCATGTGACGACAACTCCGTTTTGGTGCAGGTATGTCTTCCCATGGGATAATAATCTCTCCGAGCAAGATCTTCCTGAGCGAAGCCGGGAGGAGCAGCCAGATGCCAGCGTGGATGTATGATGTAAGTGACTCTGGGGTGATTTCATTAAGAAGTGCTTGTGCTCTTACAGCATCGATACAAACTCACAGACAACAGGGAATTTTCACCCCAGGCACATCTTCAACCTGAGCACGTGTCAGGCTCTCCTGGGCTGGAGCAAATAACATCACTTAGACTTTTCATACCCGTGCGTGTCCTATTTTGAAATCCCTGGGCCAAGGGGGGGTTAATTATATGGCAGGAAGGACGCCAGTTAAGAGCTTGAGAGATTATGCTTTTGTCACCTGGAGAAGCAGGAAAAGAGCGTAGAGACATCAGCTTATATTGCTTTAGAGGCTGCTGGAGTGAGGTCTTGGGAGAGGGACAATGTTTTGGGAGAGCGTGACCTGCATGGTAGTTACTTCAGGGAGGGTCTAGAAGAGGCAGGACAAGCTAGTCTCTCTGCTGGGCATGGAGATCTTCCAGGTATCAGTGAGCAGGCTTTGGAAAGGGGCTTGAAGCCTTCAGGGTGGTGCATCTCCCTGGGGAGGGAGGATCACGCACAGCTCCTCTCCCTGGCCCACAGCTGAGGAGAGCTTGCAGATGGAAAGCTCGTGGCTGGGGCTGGTGGCTCTTGGCAGGCTAATAATACCTCTGGGAGAAGGTCAGGTGGGCAGCAGCAAGGGCAGCTCCCATTACATCCTGTCACAAGTCACCCTCTGCTGCCAGAGCCTCCAGAAATGTTTTGGGATGTCTTGGAGGGGACACCTTTGGGGTGTCTTGGTGCTTCAACTCCTCGTCCGTCAGCGGGATTCCAGGGGAGTCATCTGTGAGTTGTTATCCCCTCCGTGGTGTGGAACAATGCAATAAACCCCAGTCCCTGCTCTCCCATCCCTGCACTGCATCCTCCACCCCTGTCCCCTCATGGTGCCCTCCTTCCCCATCCCAGCAGCACCTGGCTGCTGCCGGGCAGGTCACCCTGCTGTCCCACCGCAGCAAATGTCCCAGCAGAGAGGGGTTTTTCTTGCTGAAAAGCTGCTTAGCAGCTTATGGAAACAATAAAAGTAGTATTATCTTCGATGGCGAGGCAGATGGTTTGGATGATTGGTTTGACTTTTAAGCTGGATTTGAGCTACAGATATTCTGATTTTTAACAATTTTGGGCTGGTCAGACTCCGGCGGAGTAATCCCCAGACTCCTGCTCCCTATAAATCCAGTTCTCTCTGCACAGGGGGCTGTGGGGTGGAGACCAACCCTGGAGGGGGAGCACACAGACACCCCCCACCTGGGCTGGAAACCACCTGATGCCATTGCCATAGCCTTCTGCTGCCACCTCAGCCTTGTCACCCCGACCTTGTGGGGACGATGCCCCTCTCTGCTCCCCTCCAACGTGGGCGGCAGCGCTCTGCAAACCCATCGCTGGCGGGAGCCCAGGCCTGAGCTTCTCTCCCCCCATCATTGTCTTTTTCGAAAGGATTTATTTAGCCTTTCTCCTAATTATCAGGAGCTGTGGACTTCCCCCTACCATCTGAGCTCTGTTACCAGCCCGCAGCGCTCCTCCTGCCGACACCGAGCGCCTGTTCTTGCCGTCGCCCCCACACCCGGCGTCGTTATGGTGCTGCCGTATGGAGGGCTCAGCCGGCGACGTCTCGCTCACCGGGGCATGGCCAGGGACCTTCTCCATCCCTCCTGCAGCAGGGACCCCCGGCCATGCAGGACAGTTGCCCCTGTGCCCGTGGGTTTGGTATGAAACAAGGCAAAAAAGGAGTTTGGGGATGAAATCCAGGTTCAGCCCCGTTGGGGTTGGGGAACGCTCCTCTGGAGAGCAGCTCCAGCCAAATAAAAGCCATCCCAGGGGTTTCACGGTGAACCCCAGTGCTGAGGGACATGCAGCACCCACCCAGGTGCAGAGCGGGGTCTCGAGTTATTAATTACCTGCCCAAGCTTCCCACCTGCCCCACCTGAGAAAAGCCGTCACACCCAGCCCTTCCTTTGTATTAGAATTGGTTTTATTTAGCAAATCTCCAAAGCATTAATAATAAAACTCCCATAAAACAAGGGTCATCTTTGTCTTTACACTGAATTTGTAAACCAGGCAAAAGAGGAAGACTTCTACAGAGGTCAAAGGTCACCCAAAACATCCCTTTAAGAGAAATAAACATCAGTTTTCTGATCCGATCGTGAGCAGAGGGAACAGGAGGGAGTGAAAGGGCTGGAGGATGCGGAGGGGGCTCTAGGTAGTTTGGTTCAGTCCTGCAGCCAGGCAAAATCATTTCGCTGCTGCACCAGGTCATGAAACACCAGGGAGAAAAAAAAAAATATGGAATTTTAAGGAATGGGGAGTGGTTTTGGGTCTGTTTGCAGGCGGCTGCAGGAAGGTGAGCCTGGAAAGGTGAGCGGTGGCTGAGCAGCCGGTGGGTACCGGGAAGGAGAAAGCAGGTGCTGGCAGAGGGATGGGAAGCTGTTTCTCCCTGGGATGTGAAGCTGTTTTTCCCTGGGATATGAAGGTGTTTTTCCCTGGGATATGAAGCTGTTTTTCCCTGGGATATGGAGCTGTTTTTCCCTGGGATACGAAGCTGTTTCCCCCGAGGCAGCCGGGAGGGCGAGCGGAGCCGTGGCCCTGGAGCTGCCGGTGGCTGCGATCTCGGTGCCCGCTCCCCAGCAGCCTTTTCCCTGCCGGTTCCCACCAGCCCTGGCGAAGCTCTGCCGGAGCTGCCAGGCTTATCTTTAGCTCTGTTCCCTCCCTCGCCCCCGCGCCCACCTCCTCGCCGCACCGCGTCCCCGGCCCCCACCAAAACATGCCGTTATATAAACCCTCGCAGCAACCATCTGGGGCTGAGTCAGCCACCAACCCAAACGGACAGCGAGCCCACCAAGTGGGGATGCCAGCCCCCGGATAACAAGCTTTAGGGGTCACCTCCCCTTTAACACCTCACCCCTGTCCCAGACCTCCACACGGGACTCTGGAAGGGGACAGGCGTGATGCTTGGGGTCATCAGGCGGCGCTAGCAAAGAGGAGAAGGCTTAATTACAAGCTAATGAGGTATTGCCAAAATAAACGTGCCAGCTGCAGGGGAAGAGGAGGGGAAGGGTGGGCTGTCTGGGGAAGGGGTGTTGATCTGCCAGCTCGGGCACAGCTCCTCTTCCCTCCCCATCCCCAGCCCTGATATCCCATCAGAAACCTTTCAGCTCATCTTCCCTTAGAGCAGCACCGCCGTGCCCAGTTTGATTCCAAATTTGTTCATTTGGGTGTTTGTTTTTCTTTCCCTAAAAATCCTGGGGTCAGGATGGGGGGTGGGGGTGGGGGGGCTCCTTCACCTCTTTTAAATCACTGTTTTTCTCCGGCAGCAGCTTCGTGGTGAGCGTTTGCGACCTGAACTTTGCAGCGTTGTGCTGATTCACGACGGCTTGTCACCGAAACTGCCTGAAACTGACAGAAAAAGGGACGCTGACTCATGTGTTTGCCTTCCCCAAGCGGGGAGAAATGTGAAAGGTGAACAAAGTATTTAACGGGTGATAATTACATTCGGTGCTGAAAAATTCAATCCATATTAATAAGCCGGTGTGTTATTACTAATAGAGGCCTTTTACAATTTAAAAAAAAAAATAAATAGTATTTAAGGTTTTTAACCTTGACAGTGACCTTTTAACAACAAGTGTAAGGAAACCCCTAATTTTGTCCCACTCACACTTATAAAGCTGTGTTAAGGAGAATCTCCAGCTGCTGCCTTCCCTGTATCCCCACGGGATGCTGGGGGACGATTCCCCGGCAGCATTCCCTGATGTGGCGGGATGAAACCCGGCGTGGGGTGGGGTGGGATGTGGCACGAGGAGCCAGAGAGCCAGCCTCTGGGTGGGAGAGATCTCGGTGTTATCATTCAGGGCAGAGGGAGGGGGAGAGAGGAGTCGGAGAGGGTCCACCTTAATGCCGGATGAAAAAGCAAATTGCTGGCAGGAGAGCAGAGATGCTGCTCCGTTACTATGGTTACCCCCAGAGACAACTGAGCATCCCTGGGTATCCTGCGGTACCCAAGCTGCTCCCGGCCAGCCGGAATGGTGCTGGGAGAATTCGGGTGGGCAAGGGAACAAATATGGAGGGGTTTGTAGGGTCTGAGCTTCTTGAAGCAGCCAAGAGAGAGGATGGGTCCAGGCTGGGTGGAGGAGCAGCGTTTCCAGAGGGGCCAGGGCAAAGTTCCTGCCTCCACCCCTCTGAGATGTGCATCACCTTAGCATGGCTGGGGAGGATTTGTCAGGAGCCAGATCAGTGTGGTGCCTTCCCTGCAGGATGTCCTGGTTCTGGTCAGTGGGACACAGCAAGTCCTGCCCTGGGACATGCAGCCAGGACGGGCAGCACAAGGTGCAAACCCATGGCATCTCCCTCCTGGTGGGAATCCAGAGCTCCCAGCCCCTCTGCCTGCCCTCTGCCTGATCAAGATGTATTGAGACCCTCAGATTTTGGTGTGTTTGAGCCAAACCCATCCAAGCCAAAAGACACCCTGCTTTTGGGGAGGCCAGAAAACTCTGCAGGGCACTGAGAGATGCCCCCATCCCCTGAAGCCAAAGAGAAAGAGGCAGGAAGGCAGTCAGCAAGGGTGTAATGATGAGTTTAAAGATGGTATTAGCATTTAAGGACATCTTGAGTCTTAAAAGTGGAGGTTGCCAGCTCAAAACCAGCCCCAACCTCAGCCCATCGGTAGCAATCCTACTGAAAACACCCTGCAAGGTGTAAGCAAGGTCCTTCCCCAGAAAAGCAGTCACTGCCTACCCATCCCCACTGCTCCCAGAACCACCACCCTTCAGTTTAACCCCAAAGATGCTGCTGCCTTCCCATCCCCACTGCTCCCAGACACCACCACCCTTCAGTTTAACCCCAAAGATGGGGGTGGTCGGAGTGGAAATAAAGCAAGGACCGAACGTCCTGGTAGCACATTCCCCGCGGTGCCATCCTCAGCTCTGCTCCCTGGGGATTCCTGCTACAAGCAGCCACCAGGAGAGGAATTCTGGAGGCAGTGGAAACCATCCCCGGGGGAGCTGCCGGCTCCTCAATCATTAAATGCTTCCACAAATGAAGCGATGGGTTTTGTAGCGCGAACTGCTGCGCGAGGAGTCACTGCCGGGCGGCAACGCGAGCCCTGGGAGAGGAGGCACAAGAGCTGTGGGAGCTGCTGCAGGGACCAGTGATTGTCCCCCGGGGAGATACCAGCAGGGCCCTGCACGAGCATCCCCTGCACTTTCCTTCCTGAGATCCAGCCCGTGTTTTGGAGGAGAGCAGGGAGGTTTTTTTTTCCCATCTCACCTCCCGTCTGCCTGTAACAGGCCATTACCTTCCCCAATAACCCCCTGCTCCTCTCCTCAGCAAGAGAAAAGCTTCCAGAAAAGCATCTGGTCCAGATTTAAAGGCATTAGGAGACAGAGATTGGTAGCTTGTTCTAATAGCTAATCATTATTAAAAGATCGCTCCTTATTTCCAAGACAGATTTGTCTGGCTTCAGCTTCCAGGAAGAGGTGGTTATTATGCCTTTCCCTGGTAGATTAAGTTACCTCTTTGTACCGGTGTATTCTCCCCATGACAAATGCTGTAATCAAGTCACCTCTCAGTCTCCCCCTTTGATAAATTAAACGGGCTGCACTCTTAAATCATGCTTAGCCCCGGCCCTATCTTTGGTGATTAGAGAGAGTGGCTGGCAGTGATTTTTTTTTTAATGAGTACAAAACTCCCTAATGGGGGAAGGGATGGAGCTGATGGGACCCAACTGACTGTCGTCGGTGGGTGGGAGCGATCAGTCACCGATCACCTGACCCGGATTCAGACCATCCAGAGAAAGGATGATGAATGATTTCTCCAGGTTATCTCGGTACACAAGCCCCACTCCCTGCCCCAGCCAGGTGCAAACACCAGGAGGAAAATCCAGGATGGCAAATCCAGGGGCTCCATGTCCACCAGCCCATTAACCTCTCCATAAATAGCATCCCACACACTCGCTCCGCTTTCCTTCAGCCGTGACATACCATTAAAGACATTTAAACTGTCACTTGGCCGTGGCACGGTGTCCCCTGAAGTCCCCGGAGGAGGCCATGCCCATAGGAAATAGATCCTTGTGGAGCCCAAGGGCGACCAAGGTCGCTCTGGGCAGATTTGTTGGGTCAGTCTCGGATGACTGGGCTCTTTCTGCCCGGGCTCCAGACACATTTTCCCATCTCCGGGCTCCCCGCATGGCTGAGCCGCAGCGATCCGCTCCCCTGGAGAAAACCCATCGGGGCAGCACAGCAGAGCCAACAGCACCCACACACAGGGCTGAGCGGGGAGGGGGGACCCTGCAGAGCCCCCCATCCCACCGAGCATCCCTGCAGCCCCTTCCCTGGCAGAGAGGAAAAATTCTCCTCTCCTGAAGGATAACAAGGAAAATCCAGGTGTGGGGTTTCTGCTCTTACCTCGAGGCAGCAGGGTGCACATTTGCTAAAAAGCTCCGAAAAACCATCTGTATTTGTCCCTTTGGCCCCCCCAGTCTTGCTCTCAGTTTGCTGCACATCTATCTTCTATGTGTGACAACTGACAGACTCGAAACCATGCCTGAGGTTTGCTACAGGCAGCCACTTCCCTATGATCTTTAAAATATACAGCATGACGCAAGATATTTTAAATAGATCAAAATACATTTATTACATATTTATATTATTTTCTCTAGTCTATTTATATCTTTTGGAGACTCTTATATATAATATATATAATATATTTAAAATAACATAAAATTGGCCAGTTTTTTGTCATCTGAAATACATTTTACAAATATATATATACATTGTCACATATATCTCAAATATATGTGCAATGAGACAGAGAAAACACCAGAGGTGGAAAAGGTACAGATACTTTTCATTGCGTCCATCAGCTTCTCTATCGCTGCTCCTCACCACCGCCCCAGCGAACCGACTCTGCCTTTCACCCCTGGGAAACCAGTGCTCCCAGTTGCCAACCTGCCCGTGTGAACTGGTGCCGGGTCTCGGTCCCCAAACCGTGTGGGGGCCAAGCCTGGGGGAGCACCGGGGTGTGTTTTTTTTGGAGGGGGATGGAGTAAAAGATGAAGCCCCCCAGGAGGGGGTAGCAGGAGAGATGTGCACAGCTGGTGGGTGCTGGGGCTCAGTGAGGTGACGGGTGGCATCGGGCTGGGCATTGTCCCACGTCCCCTCCTGGCCCTAAAGTGGTCGGATCCTGCCCTGTGCCAACCCCCCCCGTGGCAGCATCCCTGAATTGGGGGGGGTGGGAGAGCAGGGTCCAGCCAGAGCACCAGACCCAGCTGCCACACGCTCGTTTGGGTGTGCAAGAGAGAAATGGCGAGGGGGTGGGGGGGGGGACACAGAGGACTCTTTTGGTTGTCAGCACGAGAGGAAAGGAAAGAGCAGGAGGGTTTAAAAATAAACGTATTTGTTCTGCCTTATTAAAGATAGAAAAGGTGGCTCTGAATTCATCTTCCTACAAAAGGTTTGAAGGTCAAGCAGGCACCGAATCGCGAAAGGTTAAGCGCTAAGTGATTGTCCCAGCCCTAAAAGACTAAGTGCACTAAATTGGGTTATGAGAAGCTAAGGCTCGGCCCCACAGCTCCCGGCCCCGGGGACCCGCCGAGGGGGAGGACACCCCCCGTCTGCCAGGGGTGAGCAGAGGATGCTCTTTCCAGCCGGTGGTTTTGGGGCACAGGGATGCGGCTGCTTTCTGCTCTCACGGGTCCATCTTTTTGGGGTGAAACCAAGTGGGAGCAGCAGCGGGTCCAGTCCCTGGTCCCCGGTCCCCGGCCAGGGTGGCTGCTGCTGCCGGAGGCTGCCCTGAGCCCCGGGCACAGGGCAATCCCTACGGGATGCTGGCCAAGAGGATTAGAGGCTCTTTCCTTTCTCGGACTTCTGCCATCCTCCAAGGATCAAGAGTAACGCCGGAGTTAACTCCATGGATGGAGCAAACCTCAGCTCTGAGGAAATGGCTGGTTTTGGGGAGGACGTGTCCCCTCGCTCAGCTCCCAGCCCCTTCCCACCAGGATCCCGCTCCACCCCTGCCACGACCGACACCAAAACCCACACCCCGAGAGCATCCCTGTGCCTTCCCAGCCCCTCCGGGGGACCCAAACGCCGAACAAACACCACTTTTGGGCTCTTTTCTCCCCATCTTTGACAATTCATGTGGTTGAAACTGCGGCTGGGCAGCATTCCCAACGCTCCCTGACGGTAGGGAAAAAGACCAGTAGCTCAGAGCACTCACAGGTAGGCAAAAATAATATTTATACACTATGTACCAGCGTGGTCCATGGCCAGGACGAGGACTATACAGTATATATAGGACAACTCGCCAGGGCTAGATCCTCACTAGGGGGGTTCAGGGAAGGGGGTGCGTGAATGGGGGGGCTGGGGAGGGTGTGATCCCCCCCCCTCACTATGCACTCCCCAGCCCCATTCACATCCTCCTACGCAGCACTTTAAAAATACATCTGTATATATTATTCTATTCTCCCAGGTAACACTGTACAATCATAGAAGTTTCTTTAAAAGCAATAATTTACTTAAAGACATCTCTATTTCTCTTTCGTTTTTATACAAATATTTACTGTGATACATATATATAAAGAAATTAACCCT